CAGTGAAAATAAATTCCATACGAAAGACCTAAAATGTCTTTTCAGTGAAAATTAATTCCAGCTAAAATAAAATATTTTGCAATATGAGGATTGACCTGGACGGGACTTGTAATAACTACCGCCGGTGACTCCTTTGATACCTTCCAGTCACCTAAAATTACCTAATTACAGCTTGGTAACGTTTCAGTTTGTACTCATTGATCTGTGCAACAGTCAAAGTCACCAACTTTGTTTATATTAGACCCATATATCTCGAGCATGCGAGGCACAATGACTACCACCCTTTAAAAATGGGACATTCTTTTTGAGCAACAACACCCATGATTCAAACCAATGATTTCTTCTAGATCAACGAGCTGTGTTGGTACATTCTCTCTCTCCTGAAGGAGTTAAGCAGTTGATTTTTGGTTTTAAGCAACATGTAGTTCACTATGATACATGCACGAGTCAGGTGCAGTTTCTACATGCCATTGGCCCATTATTTTTCTACTAGTGTATATTGCATATAGTGTAAAATACTTTATTTTCAGTAGAATTAATTTTCGCAGAAAAGACTTATTGGGTGTTGTGTATTTTCACTGAACCATTCCTTCAGCAAAAATAGCAAAAATTAATTCCAAGCGAAAATAAAGTATTTTACAGTAACACATATATGCTGTGAAAACACAACCTACAATGAGATTGCAGAAAAACACTGCCAAATCTGCAGTAATATATTGTTAAAGCGCGATGGTCGTCGCGCAGCGCGTGTTCGAATTTCATGTAAATAAACAATTTATTTTACACGCTGTATATGTCGCTATGAGTCACATATCGAACAGGACGCAGCACGACGACTGCCGCCCTTTAACAATCGCTAGCGTCCTTGTGGCCATCCTTTAACCATCGTTTAACTTATGTCTATAGTATTTTTTGACAAATTAACCTTTTTCGTCACTATAAAATAAATAATAAAAGTCTTGGTGAAAACAATATTGCACTTACTTTTTCATTGGTTAGGCATGAAGGAAAAAATAGATTTATCAAGTACTAGTAAATGGAGTACAGCAGTCAATACCGACTTGATAGAACTACAGTACCATACAGATCTTCGGGTTGACCATGGAGCTAATTAAGGCCATGTTTCTGTTAGAGGGTCTATGATTTGACAAACAATACGAGGCTGCTAGCCAGACTATTCACAATGGGGACGCTAAATCGGACAATCACGGGCGCAAGAGTCGTGAACGGAAGAACATGTGATTGTATTACGCCAACTTCCATTATTTTTCATAAAGGAACTGGGAGAAGAAATTAAGTCACACGCAGACCACTCACGGCATCTCAATGATACACTATGGAAGAGTGAGACAAGTCGGAGTGTTTCAACACCGGTATAGGGGCACTTTTTTTTTCCTGTGTGAAGTGACAAATCAACAACAGAGCGCGCTAATGCAATTGTTTCCAGTACAAAAGAGAAATCACTTTCTTAGAAATCAATTTTCCTGCTTTAAAAGTACGCGAAAGCTACTGATATCAGCGAGGCAAAGTGCTTCCCATGCATACTAGTATGCTTTGCAAATACCTTCTTTCAAATGGGACATTTCCTTCTTTTGATCCTTTACCGGCAACTTCGGAAGTTGCACCGGCGGTACGTTCTTATTTGTGCTGTCTTTTATTGTTAAAATTTGATATGATTTTGATCACATTGCTCTTCGAATTTATTTTACGTCATTTTACAAGTGGTTATAAAATATCTGCGGGTATGATCAGTGCACTTTGTTACAAAGTATTTGTAGTCAGTTATTTTGATACATTTGTAGCGTAATTAGGAATTTATTATAGTGATACTGATTAGTGTTGTGAGTTTATCTTAGTTACTATACCTATTTTAGAGGTTCAGAGCCTTAGTAGACAAACTCAATAACCTCTGATGTTCGGCGCTGCCCACTGTTATTTACTCAACAGTGTCTACAAAATAATATCCTATGAAGCTACAACGAGAGTTTTTGCGGGGTTTCATTGATACAATGTTACCTGGATACTCACCATCGATCGTCGGTTCCCTGTCGAGACCGTTCATGCGTCTGTCATCGGTGGTTTTTGCACTGTCGATACCGCTGTCTCTGTACGTGCTACCACTATTAGGCCTAACGTCCAAAGGGTCCTTTTCGATCAGGCGTCCGTTTCCTGTATGTTTTGACACGCCGTTATTTGTCGTATGATTTAGATCGTGGTTGTTGTTCTCAGCGTGTTTGAGAGTACTGTCATGTTTATTCATGGTAGCCACGGTTTGTTGGGGGCTGGACGACCCACAACCCATGTTGAGTTTTTTGGGATCTACCGATACCACTGTGAATGACTGAGTTAAACGCGTTTTTTTTTTTAGCTGAATCAGTGTAGCCGTGATTGATAAACGACTAGGTCGTGATGAGATCACCTCGTGTACACACCATCGGCACACACCATCGAGTCTATATATAGTTGTAATTCATACAATACAGCATAGGCGAGGATCCGCACTTGATGGTAACCGTGTTTACTCTCCGGCTTATGTTTGATAACTCACTGACGGTGTTCATCTGTGTGACAGGTTCAACAGAATAAAATAGCTCTATTTCATCCAACAAATGGTCACCATCTATATATGATCGCTTCCAATACAAACATTAGAAAAAAAAAAAACCTGCACCGAAAAGCGATCCCCTCCAAAATCCACGCAATGCAGTCTTGTCGAGCGGAGCCGATCGAAGGGTCGACCTACTGAAACTTCGGCGGCCTTTTCCTCAGCCAAATTTTGACGTCTGCGCAAAGAATAAGACAAACATGCAGAACTCGGCTGGCGAATACGAATTTACCAGCTATACAGCTACCAGAAGGCTGAAAACATAACAGTTCTTCCGAACTAAACGATTCAAAGCGTAAACTATTCACAAATAGGTACGACACAGCAAATCATGAAACAGTATCGTTCCAGCTTTGTTAAAGTTATCAAAGGGTGTTATCTGAGAGGGGGCCCATAACGTCACGGAATGTACTATTTAGATGTAGGGGTGCATGGCTCCAGAGGGGATCTCTAATGCTAAACGTTACCATGCCGTCTGCCGTATATTGTCAGCCAAGGGGCGTTACTACGCTAAACGACAGAGACAAACAAGGACATTTTCTGTCGAAAGTGCAAAGTTACGTTACGCGTAAGAGAAGAGCCAGTTATTACACCTGTAGTTAAAATGGCCGCGTCCTTGTCATGACAACCAGATTGTGTACGTTCAGCGTGAAGTCATGGATAGCAATCAAATAACTAATTGACTAGAGGGGAACCCATTGATACGGCGGTGTGGTATACAAGACTTTCTGTAGTGATTTGATTGTGAGTAATTCATACACCACCCGTGTCTTCACAATACCTGAACCGGTAAACTGAATTCAAAGAAGGGGTGTTATTTTACTCGTGATGTGCAGCCTAAGAGCAAAAATGACAATGAGTATTGTTATGGGTGGGTGATAATGGTATGGTGTGTAAATAAATATACAAAATTAGAAAGTTGTGTCAAGCACCGTAATTTTACATGTAACGACGCCCATTTGTGTGCGTAGTAGTTGCCCAAGGCACAAACACGTACCACAGTCCTTCTAGAGGGACTGTGCACGTACTAATACTATTGACCATTACTCTGTTTATTCACATGTAGTTTTTATTTATTTATTTATTTATTTATTTATTTATTTATTTATTTATTTATTTATTTATTTATTTATTTATTTATTTATTTATTTATTTATTTATTTATTTATTTATTTATTTACTTTCATCAAAGTGACTTAGTCAGACTGCAAATGTCGAGACTTATTTTATGTTTTATCTAAAAATATATATATATTTAGTTTTATATAAAAAAAAAAGAAAAAGACGATCCGACTTTGAAAGTCTAAATTATCACTGCCCACAGTTGCCTGGCATATAATAAGTTTACTTTTGCATACATGCATTGCATTATCATGATGAAATGAATGTCAAATGTGCAACTACCCTGATTGCTCAAACGGTTTAAATTGAGTTTATAAAAAAACAAAAGTCTAGAATTTTGCGCTTTCAATATGAAATTGGGTATTAATGAATAAACGAAAGAAGCACTCACTTGGTCGTTTTTCCTGTGGGCGCTATAGTAAACTGTGACGTAATTTCTGAACAACCCTATAGTTACTTGTAAGCGTACATGTTTAGTAACAACTTGTGTATTGGTCAACATCATTATGTGTTATTTTGTGTATAGCAAATGTTAATGAGAGTGACACATAATGTACTATTGATGATTATATCCGTGACCTGTAATTGAATTTGGAAGCAAACTGAATTTAAAGATATATATTGGGTTCAATCTGGGTTCATTTTGGCGTTAACAAACAAAGCGACTCTAATTTTTACACATACTAATACATGTAATGTAGTCAGACAATTTAATTATCTGGGAGTGTCGCGGCCGCAATGGAACATTCTGTAAAACAAAACCATTAAAGCTGAACATTTAATATAAATCTAAAGTCAATTTAAAAACGTGGATGTCCTTATTGATAAATTAGTCCGTCAGATATTAGTCCACGGCAGTGATGTCTGGGGTTTAAAGCTCCCGCCGATAACAAGTTTCGGTTTTGCATATTTTTAATAATGTCATGAATTTGTTTTTGCGTATCTGTTAACCGACTTAATTAACTGATTATTGGCGAATTGCTATGTTATGTCTGTCATCGTTTAGGTCTATTTGAGGTTTTGGACGGAACTTGGC